GTGGATTTCAAATACTGTAAAGAACAGACTGCAAATACAGTAACTAGTCCTCTGCCTGAATCTGACCTTCAGAGATACTTAGCTTATTGGGCATTGAAAATATTGAGTCAGCAATTCATTTAAGAATCCAGTTCTTCTCCTGGAAAAAAATATCAGCAAAACAAAAACCCCAGCTCTGGCAGTGTGAAGTGGCTGCCCTTCAGGAGGGGACATTCTTTCTATCTCTGTCACCCAGGACCTCATCACACGCAGGATGTGTTTCATTCATTGAGCCTACTTACCCAGATTTTCATTTAATATTAATCTGAATAAAGAGGTTTTAGTGTAGACTGTAACATTATATGGAGGAAACACACTAGAATTTGCTTCTAAAGAGAAAATAGAATATAAGAACATGCTACAAACAGAGAAATTTATTATGGAGATATAATGGTATAATGGAAAAAGAAAATGAAATCTTGAAACTTGGGCAAGGAACTTACCATCTACAAATATTAATTTACTCATCTGTAGAATGGGTATAATTTTCACTATTGAGTATTTAGTAAATATTATATGTAAGCTCATGGGACATAGTAGAAATCAACAAATGTTAAGTTTTTTTTTTGTTCTTGCATGAGTATTTTTTTAAAAGTTATGATCTAGGGATGTAGCTAATTAGTAGGGTGCTTACCCAGTGTGTGCAAGACCCTAAGGTTGATCCTTAGCACTGCCCAATAAATAAACAAATAAACAAACAGACTAGTCTGGGAAGGGCAGTTATTTTAAGTCTAACAGTTTATGTCCCTTATGCTACTCTTTTAGCAAGCACTGCACAAATGGTCTTTTGGTGGCATTTTATATTTCTGTGTTTTAAGAAATCCCCAAAACTTTGAGTATGATTATCCCCCCGTACTTCTATTTACTTAGTCACCTTTTCCTAGCTATTCCTGCACAGTCTCACTGCTTTTGTGAGCTCCTCCTAACTGTGCTACTTACTACTTCACAGATGCCACTTGGGCGTCTGCTCTGTCTCTGCCTCCACGGATGTAAAAGGAGACCACTACACAGTTCCACTGATTTGCCATGGTCTGGCCTGTGCTAAGTACTCGGTGAGCGTCAGCTACACCACCACTGCTGCATTTCACTCCTTCTAATGCAAGTTTTTTGTAAACCTTCTTTGATGTGTGTTGAGTACGTTGTTGCACCCTACTGGTGTGGTCGAGCTACTTTTCTCCACGTTTATCTCTGTGGTGTTTGGTTTGTACTCATGCTGCATAGCCTGTACTTCATTTTGCTTTGTATAGTGGCTACCCATATTTTTGTCGGTAGAATTCTTACCCCATGAGAGTAAGGGTGATGTTTTGCCTTCTTCCTATCCCTCTTGGTGCTCACTTTATTGGGCTGTAAATACTGTCTCCCAATTTCCCTGTTGTATGAATAAATAATTAAGCGAGTGGGATAATAGCTGCATATAGGGGGTTCACGTTACCTAGAAATATTGTTGGAACAGCAGAATAGCTGGGTAGTGGCTGGAGGACTTTTTTTTCAGAGTAAGGGGCCAAGATAAGCAAAAGGAAAGCAGATAGTGAAAGAGATATAAAGGGTTTCTAAGTAAACATTCTGCGGTCCTTCAGTGGCAGGGAGCCTGACATTGCGTTGGGGCAACAATGAAAAGAACCAAGAGGGAAAGTCCCTCAGCCTTAGTCTCATTCCTAGTGCATCTCGTGAGCGAGTCAGTTTGCCCAGGGTAGGTACGTAGGGGATTACCGAGTACTGATTTCCTAGAGGAGTTAACCCAGTAATGACAATGACAGGAAAATCCAGGCCAGTTCCTAGGAGGTAAAATCCTGCTTTCCTCTTGCAGGGTACTTGGTTCACCATTGTCAACTACTTCTCCTATTTTCTTATTTACTCAACAGGAACAGCACTGAGGCCCTGCTCCAGGGCCTCCCCTGGGCCCCTCAGCCCTTCCCTTGCTCCTGCTCGAGACCAGACAGCATCACCAGGATCTTGACCTTGTTTGCCTTCCCCTTCTGCTTCTTTCTGATGAAATCTCACTCTTCCCAAGGACATGGTAAGGACATCTCCTCCTGGGGGTGGGGTGGGTTCTCACTTCCATTCCTGCACCACTGTGGTGTTTTTGCTTCTCTGTATTAGAATTCCACCTAGTTTTTCTTGCCGTAATGCGTATGATGAAACAGACTTTTTAAAAATGTGAATTTTAGAATATTAAATCATTTTTGAAACTACCTCGTCTCTCCTTTGCCCACTTTCACATACTGAAAATCACTGCTGTCACCGTAACTCAACAGTAACGAACTCAGTACATTGCTTGTCAAGAAGCAGAAGGTGGGAAAATCCTCCCCACACCTTGTGCAGAGTTACCTGTGGGGGCTGCTCTTTTCAGGTTCCTTCCCTTCTAGGGGAAGCTTAGGCTTCTTTGATGAGAATGGGGCCCTCCTCTACAGCCAGCTAGCGTCCTCCATGCTTTCATTCTGCGCTTGTGTCTGCTCTCAGATCTCACTGAGCACCCTGGTGCTCCAGAGCCCCTGTCTGGGGCCAAGCACTGGGGTGAGCGGGTATAGCACTGCAAAGGAGCTGGGAAGGACTTCTGCCAAGCACCTCCCACTATCCCAGGCTTGCCTTAGTATTTTTCTTCCTTTCCTTTGAAGGACATTTGAGGAATAACCATTCATACAAATCCAATTCAAATAAAGTGAATGTATTTTTAGATTATCCTCCCATCCACAGTTTGTATGTCTCCCACGAATAATATATCCACGGTCTCTTTCTGTAAACACACAAATATAATCTCCTAGTCCAGTCCAGTGAAGTGGTCATGACATGTTATTAAGTCCCCCAAATATATTTGGTTTTAGATTCGCTCACTGGCTGTAAAGAGCATGGGAAAGCTGAGGGTGGGACACTGGGATCACCCTGGGACCACAGGCTGACTGCAAGCATTATGTGAAACTACGTAATCTGCACATAAATATCTCAATTCCACCCCTTTTACACCCTATACTTTGACCTTCTTGGAATGACTAATATCTGCTTTCTGTCTCCCTAAACTAAAGCCCTCAGTTGGCATTTTGAACCTATTTGACACGAAGAATATTACACCTTTAACTTAAAATGGGACATTTTCTCTGATTGGAAGGATACAGAGATACAACAGTATTGATAATATTAAGTAAAATAGTACTACAGAAATAAAATTTTGAGAAGTATTCTCAAAGTCTTAGCACATGTAAAGCATTTATAGTATGTCAGGCCCTGTGCTAAGCACATTGTATTTTACCTAACTTTACTACAAGAACTATATGAAGTGTAAAGTAGACATCAGTGACATCTCTACGCCTCAGGTTCTTTGTCTACAGTTTTTACGACCGCAATTTTCCCATGATCAAGGAAGTCAAGGTTTAAACTTGGAAGCACCAGTCTGAAAGCCTGCAGTCTAAAACACTTCACTGAGCTGTTTTCTTCTTTACTACTTTACTGAGCAGATGATCATATATGAAGGTCCTCAAGGGGTCAACATAAATTTTAAGGCTCCATAACAATCACACTTTTTAAATTTTTTATGAGATGACAGTTACAAAAAATAGCTGTGTGTACTTGCTTCCTTAGATTTAACAGATAAAAATAAGAATTCCTAGATAAACTTGAATTTCAGGTAAATAAAAAATTTTATTCTATATCTGTATCATCTCTATCTATATCCCATGCAATATTTGGGATGTGAACCACAGTGTATCCATTTTTTACCTGGAATTCAAACTTAATTAAGTGTCCTGTAATCTATCTACTCTAGGCATTTCATTCAGGGACTTTCCAAGCAACAGGTGGAGATAATGCTTCCCTGGGTTTAACTGCAAGACTGCAGAGAAAAAAATACCTGCGCACCGCGTGGAGCCTGTCTTGGGCTGGCCTCTCCCCACTGTCTGTGGAGCTGACCACAGGCCATGTCTCCCCTGCCCCGTGGAAGCTATTTTCTCCACCAGAACGAAGGCTTGGCACACTCGGTCTGCTTCCCCTCCTCCATTTTCCGGAGGCGCGGGTGAGGCTCACTCTGGAGAGGCCCATCTTCATGCTCCTTACTTTTAGCCAGTAATTAATAACTAAACGATTAGAAGAACTGACAGCAGAAGTCCAGATGCTAGCGGTGTTGGAAATGGAGTCACTCCATATAACTGTCTTAGCAGCATGGTTGTGGCGACTGTGGGTGTGTGTGTGTGTGTGTGTGTGTGTGTGTGTCTTTCCTTTCCCATGAACTTAGGTGACTTGATTTTCCTCCTACTCAGCATCTCCCACTCACTAGACCCTGCTGCTGTCTCTCTGGGCTCCGGGGCTCTTAAATCACTTACTCTGACTGGTCTCCCTTCACCCAAGTTCGCGCTCTGATTATGTTTGCAATTTGAAAGCTCTTTTAAGGTGTTCCCACAGCAGTTCTCCGAACAAGCATGTGATCAACAGCACATCCTGATCACTTTACTTTGGGCACAAGGCTTGACCTTAGCTTGCTCCTGGACGTTAAAGAGTTGCTTCCATCGAAGGTGTCCGCTCTGCGGTTTCCTAACAGCTTCACTCATGGCTCATCACCCTCACTACCCCGCCCCACGCTCCCCTGTTGGAGAAGACCCTTTGTTTAATTTAAAACAAAAGATTAGGTCCTGTAGTACTGTTCCCGCCACCCAGCTGGCAAAGAAGCGCAGTTAGGCCCTGTGACAGGACACACACAGTAGGGCTGGGACACAAGGAGCACAGTCCCTGACTGGCTGCGCAGCCCCAGGTGAGTCCAGCAGACCCACCCAGAGCAGGACGCACGCACGACGGCACTTCGAACAGACACGTTCCAAAGCCCCCACTTTCAACGCGCAACATCCAAACCCAGCCTTCCAAGCAGAATTCTATCTCAGGTCTCAGAACCGACCCGGCCCAGGTGAAACTGAAGCGGCGGGGGAGGGACAGAGGCAGAGGCAGCGGGGAGAGCGCGGGGCAGGTGCCGGGGACCGTACCTGGGGCGCAGCCTCGCGGGGCGCGCTGGCCTCGGGTGCGTCCGGCCGGCC